CTCATGCCTGTAATCATAGCTCCTCAGGAGACTGAGATCTCAGGATGACAGTTTGAAGCCAGCCTGGGCAAGAAAGTCTGTGAGACTCTTATCTCCAATTAACCAGCAAGAAGCCAGAAGTGGAGTGAAGGGTAGAGTGCCAGCCTTGGGCAAAAGAAACAAAGGATCTGAGTTCAAGTCCTAGTACTGGCATAAAATAAATAAAATAAAATAGGGGCTACTATGATCCCAGCTACTTGGCTCATGGTCTAAGGCTACCCCAGATAAAAGCTAAAGACTCTATTTAAAAACCAAAATTAGACATAAAGAATAAAGGACTGGGACATGGCTCAAATAGAGAAGCAGTTGCTGTACATACAAGAGTTCTGGATTCCATCCCAGTACCACCAAGAAAGAAAAGAACAGAAAACAACTGAGGGTGAGGAGTGCTAGGTATGACTGCAGGTGCAGGGGATGGTGGACAGCAATAATGAACCACATTCTCAAAAAGCTAGAAGACAGGACATGAAAACTGTCACCATAAAGAAATGATAAATACTTGAGACAGCTATGTTGAACATGGCGCAATGTACACAAGTGCTAAAACATCCTATTAGCTGGCACCAGAGGCTCACGCCTGTAGTCATAGCTATTCAGGAGGCTGAGATCTGAGGATCTCTATTTTAAGCCAGCCCAAAGGCTGGGAATAAGGCTTAGTAGTAGAGTGCTTGCCTAGCATGAATGAAGCCCTGGGCTCAATTCCTCAGTACCACATACAAAGAAAAATCTGGAAGTGGTGCTAGCCTTGAGTAAAAGAAGCTCAGGGACAGTGCCCTGGCCCTTGAGTTCAAGGCCCAGGACTGGCAAAAATAAAAATAAAGCCAGTCTGGGCAGACAAATCCAAGAGACTGCAATTAGCCAGGAAAAAGCTGGAAGTAGAGGACTCACCAAGACCCAACTCAAAATTGGCATGTGTTCAGGGACACTTGTGTGACAGAGGTGGGGGCAGGGGGGGGTGGTACCCACCATGTGGTCCCCTGCACATTGTGTTCCAAGAACACACTGCAGGCTCAGCCTAGGAGGCACTCAGCACCTATCACCTTGAGTGAACTTGGCACACTCTGCCACAGTTTAGTTTTGTTTGTTTCCCTCCCTAGCAGAGTTCTCAAGGGCCTGAAGCAGAGCCCACACACAGGCACACCCTGGGGGCCAAATATGTGTTTTTAAGTGTCATTCTACAGGGACCTTGCCTTGCCAAGAACAGGCAGAATCAACTGCTAGAAAAGTAAATCTCAGCCAGGTGTTGGTGGCTCATGCCTGTAATCCTAGCTACTCAGGAGGCTGAGATCTGAGGATCACAGTTCAAAGCCAGCCCGAGCAGAAAAGTCCATGAGACTCTTATCTCCAATTAACCACCAGAAAACCAGAAGTAGTGCTATGGCTCAAGTGGTAGAGTGCTTGCCTTGAGCTGAAGAGCTCAAAGACAGTGCCCAAGCCCAGAGTTCAAGTCCCACGACCAGAAAAGTCAAGAAAAGTAAGAAAAAAGACAAGAAAAGTAAGTCTCTTATCAGGGTAGAGTAGCTGCTCTTGTAATCCTAGCACTAGGGGAGGCTGAGGTAGGAGGATATCCCAAGATTCAGAGGGAGCTTGAACTATATAACAAATTTAAGGTCAGCCACCCCCATCACAAAAACATGAGGGAAAAAAATATTGCACGCTGGGTGCACCTGTAATTGTAGCTATCTGAAGTATAGCAATTCAAAGCCAGCCTATGCAGAAAAGTCTCTAAGACTCCATCTCAAAACAAAACCAGCAAAAACCAAGGCTGGAGCTGTGGCTCAGGTAGGGTACCAGTCTAGCAAACAAGCTGAACAAGCTTGAGGCCCCCAAGTTCAAACTCCAATCCCAGGGGGTTAAATAAAAAAGAACAACAACAAAAAAAAAAAAAACCAAGAAGGTAATCTCCAGATACCAGGTAGCAAGAATAGGAATCTCTCTCAACTTTCTTGACAAAGAAATCAAGTCTGGGTGGGAGCCAATGGTTCTAAGAGCAGGTAAGTTACCTCTGGTTCAGTGCTTCTCCACAGCCTAAATTTCTGTTAGATGTCAAATAACAGGACTACAGAAGAAAAGAAGTTTTGCGTTATAGCCTGTGTAAAAACACTGATAAAGAGAACTAGAACTTCCTGTCTTCCTAGATGTTCATTTGTGTTTCTTGTACTATAAGAAAATACTCAACCAGGTGCCCATGGCTCAGGCCTATAATCCTAGCTACTCAGGAGGCTGAAATCTGAGGATCGTGGTTCAAAGCCAGTCTGGGCAGGAAAGCCCATGAGACTCTTATCTCCAATAAACCACTCAGAAAACTGGAAGTGGTGCAGTGGCTCAAGTGGTAAAGCCCTAGCCTTGAGCTGAGGAGCTGAGGGACAGCGTTCGGCCCAGAGTTCAAGCCCCATGACCAACAAAAAGAAAAGAAAAGAAAAGATGCAGTACAACACATGATGGTACAAAGTTATTTCTGCGGGACCTAATACTATTATTCAGACAAGATCTCAATATGTATCCCAGGATTGCCTTGAACTCTAAATCCTCCTGCTTCAGCCTTCCAAGTGCTAGGATCCAAAGACTGAGGGTGGCTCCAGTGGTAGAGCACCTGCCCAGCAAGCTAAAGGTCCCCAGTTCAAAGCCTACTACCACCAAAAAGTAAAATAAGTAAAAAAGTTCTCTCTCAAGCCGGGTGCTGGTGGCTCACGCCTATAATCCTAGCTACTCAGGAGGCTGAGATCTGAGGATCGCGGTTCAAAGCCACCCCGGGCAGGAGAGACCGTGAGACTCCTATCTCCAATAAACCACCAGAAAACGGGAAGTGGCGCTGTAGCTCAAGTGGTAGAGCGCTCACCTTGAACTGAGGGACAGCGCCCAGGCCCAGAGTTCAAGCCCTACAGCCAACCAAAAAAAAAAAAAAAAAGAAGTTCTCTCTCCTAAGTACAAAAGACTTTCTTAATAGATCTTGATTTTCACAGATTTCAGGAAATGAACATCAACTCAATCAAAGAAAGGCATGTTTGTATCATGTGGCTATTTATAAACTTACTAGGGGGCTGGGAAGGTGGCTCAGTGGTAGAGCACTTGTCTTGCATGCTCGAGTCCCTGGGTTCGATTCTTCAGCACCACATAAGAAAAAAAGCCGGAAGTGGCGCTGTGGCTCAAGTGGTAGAGTGCTAGCCTTGAGCTGAAGAGCTGAAGGACAGCGCCCAGGCCCAGAGTTCAGGCCGGACGCCCCCCCAAAAAAAAACAAAAAACTCCTACTAGCTACCTGTACTGGCCTGACTTAGGCAGGCTACTCTAAATCTGCAATTCCAAGTGCCAAAGTACATCCCTCAGATTTGTTCCACTGCAATCCTACATACTACTCTTTATTTTTCAAGTGCCAGCCAGGAGGATATTTGGAAAGGTAAGACCACTGAACATAATTAGCACCTAACATTTCATTCTCTTGCAGGCAACCCTTTTCTCTGGCCACTTTTGATGATGATGAAGTGGTCAGGTTAGAGGGAAAATCAATTTCCCACATCAAAGGATATTCATTCAGGTAAAGAGTCACCCTCAGGTAGACAGGATGGTCCACACCTGAAATCCCTGGATTGCACTCTTAAGGCTGAGGCAGGAGGATCACAAGTCTGAGGCTGACCTGGGCTACTGAGACCATGTCTTGGCATAGAGAAAAACAAACAACAAAAACATTCGTTTTTATCAAAAGGAACCTAAGGACTCTTTTGTTTTGTCGGTCGTGGGGCTTGAACTCTGGGCTTGGGCGCTGTCCCTCAGTTCTTCAGCTCAAGGCTAGTGCTCTACCACTTGAGCTACAGCGCCACTTCCGGTTTTCTGGTGGTTTATTGGAGATAGGAGTCTCACGGTCTCTCCTGCCCGGGGTGGCTTTGAACCGCGATCCTCAGATCTCAGCCTCCTGAGTAGCTAGGATTACAGGCGTGAGCCACCGCCCGGCTCCTAAGGACTCTTAAGAGAGGCGGCAGAAAAAATAAAAAAATGAAACCCTTCTTCTAGTTCACAACAGCACTCTCCAGAACCCTCCTACCTCAGCCTGCCCCTCCCAGAGAGGGGCAGCAGCCTGGGTGGCTACAAATAAAACAAAGCAGAGGCCCCGAGGAAAGTATGTATTCTGCCAAAGTGACGAGACTCGAACCCAGGACCAGCCACATCAATCAGGGAAGCCTCCCTTTGTGGCCGCCTTAATCTCTAACTGGGCCAGGCCCAAGGCGAAGACCTGGCAGCTTCCGGGTACTAAGAGGGGAGGCAACAGCTTTCGTTGGTCCCGAAGTCCCCAAGACGGGGGCCACTAGCTTACACAACGGTGACTCGGTGACTGGCCCTGAGAAGCACACAGCTGAAGACCCAGGCGAAGCGTCCTGAGCTCCCCTCTCCGACACCCCGAGGTCGGCCGAGGCTCGACCTCTCCCCCTTGGCTGCTCCCACGAGTGACCAAGCCGGACAACGGTGTGCGGCGGAGGCCGCCTGAGAGCGCGACGGTGCCCCGGCGATGGCTGGGGCCCGCGACGACGCCCACCTGATGCTGCGCGGCCCCATTCGGGTCCCGGTCCGCGCTCCCAGTGCCCCCCCCCGCCACGCGAGTGCCCACCGTGATTTCGCTGCCCCCAGGACCCCATCTCACCAATGGGGAAACTGAGGCTCGGAGAGGTTCAAGTGGCTTAAGTCTGAAGGAAGGGGCTGGAGCCTCGGGCTTGGGCGGTGGAAACCGCGGCCAGAGGTTAATCCGAGGGGAGGGGAAAGGCCCACCGGGGAAGGGCTGAGGTGGGCGCTGCGACTTCCGCGCCCGCGGGGGGCGGGGGGAGGGAAATGCACAGCGACCCGGAACGAGAGCCCATCTCCGCGCCCCAGGTCTGGCGGCCACAGCGGGCAACGCTGTCCCGCGCCACGGAGTGCCCCCCCATACCCGTGACCCCCAACCTCACCCGCCCGGTGCCCGGCACCGCGGCACTCACCGCCGACAGCCGGGCCGCTTCTCCCGGACACCTGAGCAGGACGCAGGCCCGCACCACCGAGGCGCTACCACTGCTCGCGCGACGGCGGGGGTGTGGGCGTGGCCAGAGCGGCCGCTGCCCCGCCCACCAGAGCCGCGCGCGCTCCCGAGGCGAGCCCGCTCCCCACCAGCGAATCTGTGCTCTTGGTTCAGTCCGCCTTATTGGTCGGGAGGCCACGCCTCTCCTGCCAGACACGCTTTCCGGGGCGGGGCCTCCGCGCTGTTCACCCTCCTGACCCTGCTGTTGCCGAGTGGGGATTTGAAGTTTGGGGGGGCGGGAAAAGGCGAGGGCTGTTTGGGGGGGCGAGGACGCGGAAACTGAAAAGTCTGGCTGTCCCGAGTAGGAATCTTAATCTTTGCCCTCTTCTACTGTCACCCAAATATTGTGAAAACAGTATTATATAATAGGATTATTCCACGCCCCGGAATTCAGTGTACTGTATCCAAGAACCGGTCCTGACCCTTGTAGACCAACAGGCCTGACACAGTCATCGGCCTCAGGCAGGGGCCGCCTGTCCACCTGGGGACTGGACAGAGACCTTGTGACCCCCAGGCTCTATCGAGTCCTATCTCTTCCTTTCTAACCTTAGTTGTCTACCGTGTAGGTTCTGCTGGTTCTAACAATTTTAACTTCAATTCCTCATCCTGGCTTGTGTGAAGCCAGAAATCCTAACAGGACCCTCACCTCCTTTTCTTTTTCTTTTTTTTCTTTTTGCATCACCAGGTGCTATGCTTTTATCTCCATGAGACAATAACTGATCTTTGGATCTCTGCTTCTCATCATTCTTACTGCCGGTGCCTAGTCCAGGCCCACCTGCGTTCACCTTTTACCTGGATGATCCCAGTAGCTTCCTGACAATACTACCTCCAGTTTCTCCTGGCCTCCATGGCCAGGGATATTTCCCTCCCTAATTTATGGCCTTTATCACTTAAAAAAAAAACACATACAATAGCAGATTGTATAGATTAATAAATGATTTCCTTTAAAGGAGAAAGGGATGGGAAAAAACACTAAAAATCCGTGGGGAAAATTGTGTACAAAAACTCTGGGACTTTTCTGAGTGATGATCAAACTTTCAAAGTCATAAATGCACAGACTGAGAAATTAGCTTACATAAAAAACACAACTTGGAGCTGGGTGTGGTGGTTCAAGTTTCTAGTCTCAGTACTGTGGAGGCTGAGGCAGGAAGATCTTGAGTTCAACAACAGCTGCTTAACACAAAACAAACTATGAAACGTGTAACTTGGGACATCCTTGACTCACACCTGTAATCCCAGCTATTCAGGAGGCTGAGATTTGAGGGCCTCAGTTCAATGCCAGCCAGAACAGGAAAGTCTGTGAGACTCCTAACTCCAATTAACCAGCTCAAAACCAGAAGTGGAGCTACAGCTCAAATGGCAAAGCATTAGTTAGCCTTGAGCAAAAAAGCTAAGAACACACACTCGAGCACATGCACAGGTGCGCGCGCGCGCGCACACACACACACACACACACACAGAGCAAGATAACTTGTTTCTCAGCTTCACACTTTTTTTTTTTTTTGGTTCGTCATGGGGCTTGAACTCTGGGTCTTGGCCCTGACCCTGAGCTCTTCAGCTCAAGGCTAGTGCTCCCCTACTTGAACCACAGCCCCACTTCCCGTTTTGTGAGATTATTGGAGATAAGAGTCTTACAGACTTTCCTGTCTGCGCTAGCTTTGAACCATGATCCTCAGATCTCAGCTTCCTCAGTAGCTAGGATTACAGGCATGAGCCACTGATGCCCAACTCTTTTATCCTTATATCCAAATTGATACAGCAGTCTTTTCACAATTGATTTTGTCTTATGCCTAATGGGTTTTGTTTTTGTTTTTGTTTGTTGTTGTTTTATTGGTCATGGGGCTTTAACTTTGGGCCTGGGTGCTGTCCCTCAGCTCTTCAGCTCAAAGCTAGCACTCTACTATTTGAGCCACAGCACCCCTTCCGGCTTTTTTTTTTTTCTGTTTATGTGGTGCTGAGGTATCAAACCCAGGGCTTCATGCATGAGAGGCAAGCACTGTACCACTGAGCAACCTTCCCAGCTCAGCCTGATGGTTTTTGTTATCTCTTGGGATCCTGCTAGTGACAATGTTCTTGAAACCACAGCTCGCCTCCCTTACCCACACCTTCCAACATAATTATTTATATACCTAATTTAGTTCCTCTTGCTCATCCTGGTAATTTAAGCAGCAGCTGTGGACCTTTAGTTTTTGGTCTATGAGCTGAAGACAGCATCTCAAATGTGCAATACAGCACCCCTGCCTTGCTAGCTTGCCACATTTGAACCTCTACAGTTGCATTATTGAATTTGACAATATTTGCTTTCTTTGAGAGTGGTACTGGGGTTTGAACTTAGGGCCTGAGCTTGCCAGGGAGGCACTGTCACTTGTATCATAATCCCCTCAGTCCTTTATGCCTCTTTTTTTATTTTTTAGGGCCTGGGCGCTGTTCCTGAGCTTTTGTGCTCTATCACTTTAAGCCACAGCTCCACTTCCAGTTTCAGGATGGTTAATTTGAGATAAGAGTCTCATGGACTTTCCTGTACTGGCTGGCTTCGAATCACAAACCTCAGATCTCAGCCTCCTGAGTAGCTAAGATTACAGGCATGAGCTGTCTGTGCCTGGCCTGGCCTCTTGCTTTGAGACTCCTATCTCTGTAGCTAGGACCAGGTGTGTGTCAACTGGCCCAGCTTGTTTTTGAAATAGGGTCTCAATTAATTGTTTTTGCTAGAATGGTCTTAAACCAAGAGTCTTTAATCTGGTTCCAAGTAGCTGGGATTACAGGCATGCACCACCATGCCTGCCTAGGAACATGGTACTATGTTTATATGTCCATATCCTACCCATCCTGCCATTGTTAGAAAAACACATGGATTCCTGTCCTGGAAGTATGGCTTCCCTCGGGCCATCCAGCCTCTGAGGCCCAGTGTTTCTTACTTTGGGCAGCAAGAGGTAATGGCTGGGCTGGGAATGTGGGGATGTGGATAGAGTGCTTGCCTAGCATGCCCCGGGTTCAATTCCTTGAGCTGTGGCTCAAGTGGTACAGTGCTAGCTTTGAACAAAAGAAGCTCAGGGACAGTGCCCAGACCCTGGGTTCAAGGCAAAAATAAAATAAAAGTGGAAAAAATAAATAAAGTGAGGTACTAGAGACTGAATTTAGGGCTGCATGCTTGCTAGACAATTGCTCTACCACTTGAGCCATGCCCCCGGACCTTTTATTATTTATTTGTTTTTATTTTTTTGCTGGTCCTGAGGCCTGGGCTCTGTCCTTCAGCTTCTCTGTGCTCAAGGCTGGTGCTGTACTACTTGAGCCTCAGTTCCACTTCTAGCTTTTTCTGTTTATGTGGTACTGAGGAATTGAATCCAGGGCTTCATGAAGGCTAGGCAAGTGCTCTACCACTAAGCCCAGTCCTTATTATTTTTTAGTTCGAGATTTTGTTTTGTTTTGTTTTGTTTTCTCTTTCAGATGAGGTCTCACCCTAACTTTCCCAGGGCCAACCTCAGCCCAAAATCTTCCATCCTCAACCTCTGGAGTAGCTGGCAGAAGCACCATGTTTAGCCCTCCCTAGCTCTGAGATGACAGAATAAATACAGGCTTTTAGCTATGGGGGTGGGGTGGGGGGGTAGGGGAGTTGAGGGGGCAGGGGGAGGAAGGGGAAGGGGGGGTTTTCACCCTGAGCCAAGCCAAGATCCAGTCAATTGTGTCTGTAGACAGTGCTGGGATCCCCAGAAGTAGTTGAGAGGAGAGGCCAGCTGGGCAGCTTAGGGAACAGAAGCAGAAGGAAGTACAAAGCGGGGGGAGGAGGGCTGTCTTCACTTCTGCCACTAGATCCAAAATCTGGCAGCATTGGAAGTTTTAAGTCAACTTCAGGGTGATTCATGGTCAAACCGGCTGGGCCCTGCCTGAGGTGGGAGCCAGGCCTGTGGTGGGAGCAGGTGGGAGAAAGCTGAGCCTGGAGGAAGGGAGGGTGTGTGGCCGGGATGGTGAACCATCCGACCTGGGTGTGGAAATCGCTTCCCCAGATCTCTACTCCACACACTCCTCCTCAGGCCCAAGTCTGTCCAAAGGGCAACCAAGGCAACCCCAGACACCCAGACAGTGCACACGGGCCTTTGGCACAGGAGACCCTGCTTCCAGTGTGGGAAAAGCTGAGACCCCCCTGCTGCTTGATCTTGCAGAAAATTCTGAGGGGCTGGGAACTGGGGGGAGGAACAGGTGTTTAGAGGTGTCCAATGGCCCCCAGGCTCCCCCCACCCCGCCCTCTCAGGGTGATGCAACCCCAGTGAGGCTCACTGGCAGTCCCATGTAAAGCTGAAGGGGACCTGGCTTCAAAAGAAACAGGAAGATGTCCTGGGGGGAAAAGGGGACACTGGGAAAGCCACGCCCAGCCTTCACTCCCCTCCCTTCTTTCCCTCCCTCCCCACGTTTGTATCCACGTGCCACATGGCCAGGACCTTTGCCTTCCTCTTGCCAATATGACAAAGCCAGTGCCAGGGCACTGTTCCCCATCCCCACCCCCGATTTCTGGGCCAGCTCTGGCTGTTGCCATGGTGACTGGGGAGACACTGAGCAGGCCCTGGGCAGCAGTGGAAGGAAGGGGGTGGAAGCTGTCCTGGGCCTCCACTGTGGCTCCCAGGGTACAGCTGAGGAAACTGAGGCAGTGGTGTGCAGATCTGCTGAAGGCCTCTAGGGGATGGGATTCTCGTAGAGGAAGGGTGCTATCTCTCTGATCCAGTGAGGAGGTAATGACCTATCACCATTGCTTGATCTCTAGCAAACCGAGGCTCCCTTTTTATTTATTTTTTATTTTTCTTTTTTGACAGCCCTGGGACTTGAATTCGGGGCCTGGGCACTGTCCCTGAACTTCTCTTGCTCAAGGCGCTAGCATTCTACCACTTGAACCACAGTGCTACTTCCAGCTCTTTCTGTGTATGTGGTACTGAGGAACCCAGGGCTTCATGCATGCTAAGCAAGCATTCTACCACTAAGCCACATACATTCCCAGACCCTGAGACTGAGTGGGCTGA